CCCCCCCCCCCCCCCCCCTCCCTCTCTGCCGCTGGGGCACTGACACCCCTTGCTCTTTGTCCTTCCCTTGAACCGGCCCGGGTGCGACTGATCGTCAGAAATACACCACCACCCTGGACCGGTCCTCCGAGCAGTACATGCAGCTGGAGGCCGAGACGATGCAGAATCTGGCCCAGCTCGAGGCGTCGGGCGCGCTGGACAACCTGCCGGTCTTCCCGGATCAGCTGGCCTTGCTCCAGCCGGATGCCGAGCACTTCGATGACCCGCACATGGGCGACGAGGAGGCCCTTTATAGCGCAGTCCTTCGCGGGGCCTCCGGCTCCGGGTCTGGTGTGACGACGAGCGGCCCGGCTCCAGGGCCCGGTCCGGCGACCGGGGCCCATCTGCTGGGCGCTGGTGTTGCGCCGGGACCGATGGCCCCGGTCCCGCCGGCCGTGTCGATGCCAGTGCCGGTGTCGATGCCGGGGGCCGTGCGCATGCCGATGCCACACGGGCCGATCCCCTACATGGTGGCCAGCTCCTACCCGGGGCAGCCCATTTACCCGGGGCACTTTGTGCCGATGCCGACGCATGGTCCGATCCCCGGGCCCATGCCGAATGTCATGGCTGGTGGTCCTGTTCCGCCGGTGGTTGTCGACAACAAGCCCAAGGTGTCGCTGGTGGTCAAGCGGAAGGATCGCGAGGTGATTGTTGTGAAGGATGACAAGAAGACCTATGAGTCTTCGGCCGCCCCGAGCGATGCGGCCGAGGCTGCTGGCAGCCCTGCCGAGGTGCCCGCTGTCGAGGGTGCGGAGACCCCGGCTTCGGCCGCGGTGTCGCCGGCCCGGGCCAAGGCTGCCCCTCCGGCCGGCATCACTGTCAGCAAGAGCTCGACCGCCTCGGCCGGTTCGGCTGAAGCCGCGCCGGTGGCCGAGCCGGTGGCCTCCGGGATCCCGGTCCCGGCCAAGGCGGTGGCCTCCGGCCATGATAGTGACAATGCGCCGGCCGGCCTTCCGATCGAGGACGAGACTAAGGCCGAGGTCAAGGCCGAGGTCGATCTCAAGACCGACGCCAAGGTCGAGGTTAAGTCCGTGATTGAGGTTGAGCGCAAGCCCGAAGTTAATGCCGAGCCCAAGACGGAGCTTAAGTCCGAGACTGAGGCCAAGTCTCAGGTGGAGGCCGAGCCCAAGCCCGAGCCCAAGCCCGAGCCCAAGCCCGAGCCCAAGCCCGAGCCCAAGCCCGAGCCCAAGCCCGAGCCCAAGCCCGAGCCCAAGGCCGAGCCGAAGACTGAGACCAAGGCCGAGCCGAAGACTGAGACCAAGCCCGAGCCAGACACTAAGCCCGCTGCTGAGGCCAAGACTGAGGCTGCCCCGGCGGAGAAGGCGGCGGCGGACGCCCTCAAGCCCGCGGCCGGTGCCGACGCCCCGAAGGCCCCGCCCAAGGTGAACACCAAGATGCCGAGCTTTGTGCCGCGCCGTCGTCAGGCCCCGGTTGATGAGGCCTCGACTGCGGATACCTCCACGTCGTCGTCGACTCAGCAGCAGCCGCAGCCGCAGTCGCAGCCGCAGCCGCAGCCGCAGTCCTCCGGGCCAAAGTACTCGCAGCAGGGCGGCCGCGCGCACGGCGGCGGAGCCGGCGGCCGCACTGGAAACTACGCTCGGACGCGCGGCCCGGGTGGTCACCACGGTGGCCACCATGGTGGCCATCATGGTGGCCATCATGGCGGCCCCGGGGGCGGGCCCGCGCACTATCACCCTCACGGCCGGGGCTACCACTCGCCGATGATGTTCGCCGGGCCTGGGGCCCCTCCGAGTGGCCCGGTCCCGCAGGTGCCCTACGGCTATGCGCATCCTGGCTTCGACCAGGGGTTTGCCCAAGGGGGGCCGCCGCCGGGGGCGCCGGGGGCGCCGCTGCCGCAGCAGCACCTGGGTGACATGCATGCAGGCTTCCCGGCGGCGGCGGCGGCGGCAGCTGGGATGCCGCTCCACCCGGCCGGCCTGCACCACGCCCACCCACATCCCTACCACCCACACGCCCATCCGGCCGGCATGCCGATGGTCCTGCCGTCTTTCTATGCGGAAATGCCGGGCATGGGTCGTGCGGGCATGGCCGGTGGCGGCTCTCCCCATCGCGTCGGCGGCCACCACGGCAACCACCACGGCAACCATCGCGACCAGGGCAACAGCGGGAATGCCCAGGGCCAGCAGGCTGTTGGCAGTGCCTCGGCCCCGGGCCCGGGCCCGGGCCCGGCCCAGTCCCCGGGCTCTGGCTGAGGACCGGCCCTTGCTGCTGTGCCTCCGTCCCACTGGCTGGTCGTCGTGCCTGTGTCCGGTGTGAATCGGCAGGGCGGCAGGGCGGCAGGGCGGGGGCAAGGTCATCCATGTGCCCAGGGAATACATATCTCTTCTACATTTCTCTCCCCCTCTCCGCCTTTTTTTTTGCTTTTTTTTTTTTTTGCGAGTGTGCGGCCGAGTCGCGCGGTGTCCATGTGTTTGTGTGGTCAACGGGCCCATTTCGCGCCCCTTGGGGCTGGGCGGCCGCCTCAATGGGGGGGGGGGGGGGGAGGATGGGCGCATTCGCGTGGAGGGGAACGGTGGCGGGGAGGGGTGCACAAGAGGACATGTCGAGGGACCGGCGAACATGTGAAAGAGATCGAGAAGAAGGGCTGGCAGGGGCGAGGGACCCGGGGTGGGGTGAACGAATCGTCGGAGCACGGTCAGGGGCCCGGGAAAAAACCGTCAATTTAAAATTCACCCTGCGTCACCATGGGCACCTGAGTGTTCCGGGCTCCGGGCCGACCACAGCGTGTTTCGACACCTCGGGGGGGGGGGGGGGGGGGGGGGGCACCACGCCCACCACCCCACCCCGGTCCGGGACCGCGGCCCCCCGAGGGGCAGAGTGCGCGCGCCGGGCACCACCCCCCCCCCCCCCCCCCCTCCCCCGCTGCCC